TGTAAAAAACATGAATATAATCTAAGAAGTGTTTAAAATTTTGAATAAGTTTTTATTATGCAAAAAAGAAAGCAATATTTCTGTTATTATTTTGAATAAAATAAAATAGAAAAAGAAAGAAAACTCGATAAATACAATCACTGTTAATCAAAAGATTCCGTCAAAATGAGAGGAGGTGATGGAAAAACTGATTGATTTGAATCAGTTTGAAGAATAGATCGTGTTAATAAAGATGATTGACGTTTAGGTGGTAATGCAATAAGACGTGGTCGTGCAGTTAAACTAAATTCATTATGATATGCTTCTTGTAAAATATTCCACATGGTATTTTCTAAAATATCTTCAATTAATGATGTTATATTGGGATTATTTTTTAAACGTTCATTATCATCTAAATTTTTTTGTTGTTCAAAATCTGATAATGATGATGGTGTTGATAATGTTTGTTTTACAATTTTTGCTTTTGAAATTAGTTCACTACGATTATTAAGAGTATTTTCAGGTTCAATACTTGACCAAAGAAAACTTTGATCAGGTTCAGTTGTATTAATTTCATCAAGATTTGTTCGAGTTTGATAATCTTTTAATAAACGACTCTCTTGACGTTGTTGTTGTTGTTGTTGATTATTAGTTTTTGATGATCGCGTATATTGTAATTGTGAAAAATATGGTATTTTTTCAGCAATCATTTCTGGTAATGTATCAGCAAAAACTCGATCAGATAAAAGATTTCGAAGTAAATCTGATAATGTACTACAAAGTAAATCAGTTTCTTCTACTGTTACTGTTATTTGATCATTATTATTTGTATTAAATTCATCATCATCATCATCGGCATCATCAATTAATTCATCTTCTTCAGTTTTTTTCGAACGTTTTTTCGAACTTTTACTACGATAATCACCACCTACAAAGAAAAATCATAGTATACATTTGAATTACTCTATTCGTGTTTTATAATGAGAAAAGGTATCGTCGATGTAGATTCATTCTGATATAGTTCCCATACTATCATGCTTGATCGTCAATCTTTCGTTGATGATCTATCTTGATTAATTAACGTCATTATAACTAATTAAATTAGTTAATTTTCTTCTGAATATAATTTCATATATGAAGAAAAAACATTTTATTTTTCAAAAATCATCGGTATGGATGATCTATCGTATGAGTGTCAATTCCTTACCGATATATAATTATAACATCAACATTATCGTCTATAGAGTAACTTTCAAAATCAAATAAGTCTTCTATATTCAATTAATTTTTTTTTATAAAACACATCATCTTAACAGAGAATGTTTTCAACTGATCAATCATTTTCTCATCAAAAACTACTGAATTATATGGGTTATCTGCCATGTTGATTCCGAATATGACTATAAGAAATTCCTTTAAGCCTTTATATACCGATTTTATAGACTAATAAATATTTTATCCAAATCATTATTACAGAGCACACTAAGTTGTCTATGAGTCAATAATCTTTTCTATTTTTCAAAAATTAACTAGTTTTAAGTAAAATAATATCATCTTAAAGATTTTCAAATTGAAATGTCAATATGTATCTATTGTATGAATTAAAAGAACTGTATTTTCTACAATAGAAGTCCGATTTAAAACAGAAAAATCAAAAGAAAGAATTTTCTTATGGTCTTATTCTTCAACACTTTCTTATCATCATTTAAAAATTTATTTATAAAAATAAAAATCTTACCTAAACATGTATCAATAAAGAATTTTCCTAATTCATTTGTATTCGTACATAAATCAAGATATTCATTATAAACTAATGTACGTGCTGTAAATGCTAAATGTAATAATTCTGGTATAGGCATTTGTGGTCTTGTATTTTGTTGTTTTCTTATATTAGCACGTAAACGTCTTGCACGATCAATATTACTTTCATCAAGTTCATAATTAACTAAGACTGGTGGTAAAGTTTTACACATTTGTAAGGTTGATCCTTGGTGAAATTGATTTTCTATTAATTGTTGTTGTTTATCATTATCATCAAGTATACCACTACGTAAACATGCTTTATATTCTTCATCATCAATTTCAAAAGATTCCCATTTTTTTTGTATATTAATTTCCCATTTTTTCAAATCAAGATTATATTGATTAAGTGTTGTTTCATTATAAATTTCACAAACAAGATCAATATCATGAAATGCTGGTGCTTCAATTGCCATAAATGTGACTTTTATTGGTAAAGATTGTCGAGGTTGAATTTTACCACGAACTATTTAATAGAACAAAAAAAAGAAAATAAATTTTAATGAAAATTAGAGAAAAAAAAATCAGAATTTTATATAAACCTGGTTGAATTCGAATATGTCGAACTTGTTCTGGATTTGTAACATGCCAAATAAATGATATTGAATCTTTATTTGATTGATTTTTAAGAAAAGTAATATGACGTTGTTTAGTAAATAATGGTAAATTACCAAAATTTATACGATCAATTGTTAATGAAGCTAAACGATCACTTAAATTTAATTGTTTTGTTATTTCAAGATTCTCTGTTAAAGATTTTGATATATCAGAACTTATATCACGTTTATCGAAACCACTACCAATAAATGTAATGAATGCTGGTTCACAATTTTCCAAATCAATTTTTATATTAAATACATATTCACGAGCTTCAAGTGGATTAAATACCCATTGAGTTACAAAACTTTTATTTGGAACTATAATACCTTCGGGTGTAAGACAATCAAGAACCCAAAAACCATAGTTTGATAATGAGATTTGCTCTAATTGACTCATATCAACCTAAAATAAAATATAGAAAAAACTTGATATTGTTGATAATTTTAATAGTTATTGTTCATCTTATGACTAATTACTGAAACACAGCGCTGAACAAACAACAAGACCTATGTATTTTTGATTTTGTTCCAAATCTATCCACTTAAATTCAAATAGTACTTCGAATAGACGATGAATTTCTCTATCAAATGCATTTCACATCGAAATTTTAAAGATGGATTTCGAGAGGAAGCTTTCTGGAAAACTAAACGCGGTTGTTTTCAGATCTCAAAAGACTTTATTAGTTTTTAAGAGTACTATCTTCGAGAGGACAGAATTTTGAATAAAATGAGAACTTGTTGCATTTGCTATAACCTTTCTTTGAAAAGTTATAAGCATTATAAAGCGAAATTTATCATAGCATTTGCTAAAAATGCATCTTTTTTTTCTATGATGATAATGTCTTAAGGAAAGATCATAGAAAATGCGGTAACCTCTTAATTTATTCAGAATTTTGTGTGCTCTTAAAAACTAATTTTTACAAAATCTTCTAAGATCTGAAAACTACCAACTTTGACTTTTCAAAAAGTTTCCTCTCATAGTCCATCTATCGAATTTCGGTAGAGAATGTATTTGATAGAGAACTTCATTGGCTATTCTAAGTACTATTTGAATTTGAGTTAAATACTTTGTATCGTAGAAAGACAATTCAAAAATACATTGGTCTTGTATTTTTGGCCCAGTACTGTAGAGCATAGTTGATCTCATTTTCTGTACATACAATGAGTACCAAAACTATTCAACAAGGTTCATTTTCCATTTTTTCCTCTGCTGCCATAAGCGCTAGAAAGAATCCAAATAGTGATTCGAATAGAGAAATGGCTTTCAACAAGAATATCAGGAAATCAAAATTATTGTCAGATTCGCAAAAATAGGGACTCCAGAAAACCAAAACTTTACTTTTTCCACATCTAAAACGAGTGAATATGATTTTGTTTAAACTATGTAGAACGATAGAGTAAACCATTCTCTACATGATAAGATATAGGAAATTGAAAAAAAAACGACTTTATGGGTGTCTGTAAGATTGTTGTATCTCAGCTAAAAAATGTCGCAGAGAACTGAGAGATATGTCATTTTATAGAGAATTGTTCGCTCTGTCGTTTAATGTAGTCAAAACAAAATTATACTTGCCCGTTCTAGATGCTGAAAAAATAGCCTTTTAGTTTTCTGAAGTTTCTGTCTTTGAGAATCTGATAATAATTTTTATTTTCTTATATGTTTGTTAGAAACCATTTTTTCTATTCTAATCACTATTTGGATCCTTTCTAGCACTTACGACAGCAGAGGAAAAGAAGGAAAATAAACCTTGTTGAATAATTCTGGTATACATTGTATAATATAAAGATCAATAGCTTGAAAAAAGTTTTCATATTATTTTTATTTTAGTTTTTTTTTTATTTTGATAAAACTATTTAATAGAAATACTCATACCTGAAAATGAATTGGTACTGTACCACCATTCCATAATTCATATTGTTGTACAGGTGCTCCTTGTGCACCTAATTCAACTGGTAATAAATGATGAGTAGTCGAATAAAATTGAACATATCTTTCTCCTGGTTCAACACTAATACCAACTAAATTAAGCATAATTTGTCTTCCACGACCAACTTTAAATATAGCTGGTAATGTATGTTGACCAGCAAAAATATGTTTATATGTAATTGTAATTGTAACATTCGAACCTTTTTTTAAAATACCTTTTTTTGGATTAATACTAAATATTTTATTATCTTGTAATTTCATTTCATTTAATTCTTCTTCTGTAAAATCTCCTGTACGTGCCCAATATTCTAATTCACATTGTAAATCTTTAGGAAAAAGAAATGCCCATGTTGTATCAAGATCACTTGAATTTTCAAGTAATAAATGTACTTCTGATGGTGCTGAATTCATTGGTGCAGCATTAAAATTAAATGAAATAGCTTCAGGTTGTTCAAGTGGTGGTAATGGCGATGCTATACCATTATCAATTTTATTTTTTCTATATGTATTTAATTTTTTCGAAAATATTTCTTCACGAGGTGAATTAATAGCATATGTTAATTCATCAGGTGTAGGTTCTTTAGCTAATAAAGCATTTATTTTTGTTAAATTAAATGCTTTTGATAATAAACCTTTACTTAATGATGCTGATTGTTGTGAACCAAGTATATCAATAAATGTTAAATGTGGATAAACACCATGTGTATTTAATGTACATAAATGATGTTTATGTTCACTTAAACATTGATTATTATCATCTAATAATTCATAGAAAATTTCTATTTGATAATATGAACGACTAAATGGATGTATACGACATGGTATACATATTTTAGCTTTACCATCAATTTCACTTTGATTATTTTCAATTGATATAAATTCAATAATTGACATTTCTTCATTATCTATTAAATTATTTGAATTTTTTTTCTTATCTAATATTGTTTGTTTTGTATAAAGACGATAACGAAGTAAACAATCACCAATATTTGTTATATAAAGATCATATGTTATTGATGTACCTAATGCAATTGGACCAAGATCATGATGTAATTCATTAGCACGAAGATAACCATCACGTGTTGATGCATGTATTGTTATATGATATGTTTCAGCACCATATTTTGTACGATCACCAATCCAACATGTTAATTTTGCTGGCATAGAAATTTTACCTTCATCTTTTGGTTTATATATAATAAGAAAATCTTTTTCTTCATATGAATTAAAATAACCATTTTTAGGTTCAATATATAATGATGTTATATTATTATCTAATGACCAATTAAATTCTAATTTTGAACGTGTTATTGATTTTAATTGTAAATGTGTTTCAGAACTTAAACCAATACATGTTGTTAATGCATATATATGACCATCATTTGGTATTAATAAACGTGCTTTATCTTGTGTTGCAAATATATTTAAAATTTTATCAAATTTTTCACGTTCATTTAAACGTACAATAATACGTTCTTGATAAATATTATTATTTATTATATTTGATGAACGTATTGGTTTATAACGAACAATTATAATTGCATAATCGCCTGGTTTTATATAACCATTTGATGGTTTAAATGTAAAATGACTTAATGTATCATCATTTGATGATGTTAAAAATCTATATATTAATGGTATTGTACCTGTATTTGTTAATATTAATGTTTGATATATTGATATTTGTTCACCTATTGGTGGAAATATAATTATATCACGATCAAATTCACATAATGGTAATATTTCATGATTTAAACGTAATGTATTACCAATACATGTTAAATCTATTTTTACAGGTAACATAACACCATAATCAGGTACAAGTGTAAAATCACGTTGATTTTTATAATAAACATAACCTTCAAAATGTTTTGTATAAAATGTATCAATTATTGTTGGACGAAATATAATACGAAATGCTGTAGATTTTAATGGTAATAATTCTGTTTCTGTTGGTATTATAGAAAATATTGATGGATCTTTTATTAACCATATAACTATTAATTTTCCTCGTGTTAAATTTGTTATTGTTAAACTTTGTTGCCATTCGTTTGTTTGATCTAATGAACATTGATCAAATATAAAACATGTTTCACTTAATGTAACATATTCAAAATGTGTATTATCTTCATTTGAAAACCAATATAAATAATTATCTTTTAATGGATTTAATAATGGTGGTAAGATATAATCATGTTCATCTTTAATTATTTTTATATCATTAATTAAAGTTTGATCATTAGTTTCCATTATTGAACCAGATTGATCTAAAATTAATCGACCACGTTTTAAATAATCACTTAATATTTCAAATGGATATAATGCTAAATGATGTGATATTTGTTGTTTAAAATTTTTTATATAACGATCATTTAATACAGGTGGTTTACCCGTATCTGAATGACATGTACCAATAAGTTCAAGAAGAATTGGTGATTGATGTTCAATAAGAATAGGAACTATTTTATAATATCCCATTGGATATGTAGGTGTAAATGTTATAATTATTGTTAATTTTGAACCATCACCAATTAAAGTACCATTTTCAATTGAAAAATGAAATGGACTATCAGGAGAAGTGTAGATTTGAAAACGTGCAATACTTGTTTCTTGTGAATTATATATTTCAATTGTACGATTTGTTGTACTATTCTAAAAATACACACACACAAAAAAAAAAAGATTTTCGATATTGAAAAAACTTTTAGATGAATTTTATTTGAAAATTGGAATTAACTTACCAGGGAAGTATCCTAACTGATTTATCTCTTTTGAATAATGAATATCATGAAAAGCTCTAGAATTCTTAGTTGATTGCTGCAAAGATACTGTATTGTTTTAACTGAATGTCGTAGTTCCACTGAGGAATGTCAGGAAAGTCTCTTTTATTTGCTTTTATCCTGAAATAAGAATATCGAAATCTGCTAGTATATAAACTCTCATAATATGCTATTTCCGTTAAGGCCTCGCTCTGTACAAAGTTTCAAGTCGAAACTCAAAAATCAATTTTTCCAATGTTTCCATAGGTGATCACAGCAATCACTTGAAAAATGCAGTATCTTTGCTGCAATTAGCTAAGAACCCGAAGTCTTTTCAAGGTATTCATAGCTCATTAGGATCTATATGATGCACATTGTCTCAACTCAAAAGCAATTAATTAGTTAAGACTTCCCTTGTTGGAAATGCTTGGTTAATAGATGAAATTAAAAGAATGAAACATTGACTTCAATAAAATCTGTTTCTTATTCAAAGATTTTCCATAGCTGAAATTAGGACTACAGACTTTTAAAAACTCTCTCTTCTTATATATCAAGAAAAACTTAGTGATTGGGATTTTCATTGACAGAGATCAACTACTATTTTATATTTGTGAATTTATGAAAGCATGAATTTGCCTCTTTCAAAATTAATGAAGAATAGATGAATGATTGAACGGTGTGCTGTAGAAAGACCAAAAGGAAAAAATATCGAAAATTTCAACTAACAAGACATTCTTTATTTTTGTCATCAGGAGTATATGTTCTAGTCTTCTCTTCAGCTACATCCACACTCTACTCTATCATGCATAATTAGAATATTATTACTGTTTGCTATTTGATTGTCTTCAATAATAAAATTTTTACAAACTTTAATATTTATTTTGCTCACATCACGGTCTCGCTTGATATACGATGAACTTTTTTCATTGTAGAAATATGTAGGTTATGCTTTTTTTGTATATTATACCTTCACTAAGAAAAATTCTCTAACTCTCTCATCCTACACATCTCTATTTCATTTTAAACTTATAAATATAACATGTAAAATAGCTTTCTACAATATGAAACATTCTTATCAAGTGAAATTCAAGATTTTGATTCTATTCTAGTATATTTCAAAGTTTTCTTTTTATGTTGAACATAGCACTAATTATCACAACTAGTCCGGCAAGATTTTTAATGGTCTATATAGTCTTCGAAATGAACTTTTGTTTTCTTTTATTGCATTCAATTATTTACATCAATTTAAGAAAATTTCATCTTATAATTCATATTAAATATTATTATAATAAAAATTTTTTTTTCTTCCTATATCTTACCGCTAATACTTGTCCAAATGTAATTCTTTGATGACTAATTTCAATTAAATTACCGATCGATTTTCCACTACATTCAACAACAGCTGTTACAAGATTTCCTTGTTGTGTATTAACATTAAAAAAATCTCTATAATATTGTTCACATGCTTTAGGTTGAAATTTAATAGCAATTGTTTGTCGTTTTCCAGCTTCTAATATACCTTCAGTTTTTCCAAAATAAAAAGCTGTATCAAATTTTGCTACACCTGGTAGTGATTCAATACGAAATGGTACACGAAATGTTGATTGATTAAATAAAATTAATTCATGTTTTAATATTCCATTCATAGGCATATCTCCAAAAGGTACTAAAATATTTCCTGTATTTTCATCAATAGATCCATCATCAGAATGAACAATAATATGTGGAAACTTTCCAATACCATGTAAATGAAGTTCATATACAGATTGATTTCCATATATACATGTTGCTGTACCAACATAAATTAATGCCCATTGTGGTTGAAATGAACATGTAAATGTTTGTATACCACCAACAGGTAAAATACATTCACGAGGTTCAATTATAAATGGTTCATTAGAATTCCATTCAATATTTGTTTCTAAATCACCTATATTACGTAATTTAAATGAACGAATTTGTATATCTTGTATAGCACAATAACCAAAATTAAGTTCTTTTGGTTCAAGACTTAAACGATATTGTGGTAAAAGACCAGCAAGTGTTATATGATATTGTGTTTGATTAATATAAACAATAAGTTCATCAACATATGGAACTTTTTCTAATGGACTAAATTGTATAGGTAAATTAAATGTAACTCCTAAAAAAAAAAAGAAGAAAATTTTTCCTTTTTTTTCTTTTCGAAAAAATTTTTACCTTGACTTAATGTTAAACGTCGTGGATAAATTGTTTGAAAATATCGTGTTTTAGGTACTTCATATGTAAATGTAACATTTTTTCCGGATAAATTTCTAAATGTTAATATTTGTGTATATTCTTCACCAGGTGTCCAATTACGAAAAATACAACGTTTATATGTTTCAATACCATCCCATGTTATTCGTGCATTTGGATTTCGATAAACAAGATTTTGTGTTGTATCATTAGGTAATTGTAATGGAGAAAGCGACAATTGTTTAAGACGAACAAGACCAGGCATGCTATTTTTTTTTATGTTTTAAATAAAAAAATCTTTAGTTTGGTTGTCACAGATTCTTTATTGCTTATAAAATCAACCATGTTGCTAGATGATTATGAAGAGGTCACTTATCGTTGTGTTAATTTTTTTATTTAATAAGAAAAAATTCATTTAAGAAATAAAAAAATTCATCAATAAATTATGATTTTAGATATATCTAAGAATTAAATTGAAAGATTTGAATCATTTTGTATTGGATTTTAATCTTGACCAATGAGTAATTAAATGCGACAATTGGTATTTTCAACGTGCATCTTTGAGATAGTGAATGTTTTCTTCCTAAGGGGTCGAACACACTAGAAAAAGTGACTTAACTTAAGACAAATTTAAGCAACGTGATTGGTTAATTTAGACTTAAGTCATCTCAAAAAGATGACTTAAGTCTGACTTAACCAATCACATTACTTAATTCAAACTTAAGTTAAGTCAGTTGTCTCTAGTGTGTTCGACCCCTAAGAAAATTTCAAATGATACTAAATTTAAACAATAGAATTCATTTTGTTTTTCGAAAACAAAATAATAATATAATTCCTATATTAAATTCAAAGGGTATTATTTATTCGAATACTATTTAATATTTATAATATATGAAATCATATGCACGAAGTCATATGACATAATCGATGGATAAAATCTTATCTGATGAATAACAACAAGCGACCAGTGATATTAGACTTATTCAATATTCGGTATTCGTTGAGCAGGTATTCCACTCTCTGATATTATATAATGTGTTTAATATATTTATTGTAGAGCAGCTACTAAACGAATATTCAAGATTTAAATCATTACAATGATAGAAGACATAACTATTCGACTTTTTTTTTGTCTATATACAAATTATGCTCTATAGTATTTTATTTTTAGATATGTCTTCTCATTTTTCACCTTATATTGATTTATTTTGTCGAGGTTTATATGATTCAGTACGAAATTCATTTAATGTCTTGACAATTGATGATGATTTTAGTAAAAAATCATCAGAAAAAAATTCAATTAAACAACATCCACATCAACCAAAACCTAAACGAAGTTCATCATCATCAGATACAAAACGTGTTAAATCAAATTTAGCACTTTTATGTTTATTTAATGGTGGAATACTTCTTTGTGGCATGCTTTGTTTTAATTATCTTTTTTTACCTATTTTTCGTCGACTATTCAATACATTAGCTGGATTAGATTCATCATCATCATCTCGACCATTATTAGTTATACAATATATATTAACATATACATTTAATTTTCTATGGCTTATTCCAGCATTTATTATATCAAAATTTGTAAATTCATATTGGTTTCGTGATATAGCTGATGTTGTCTATAAAAAATTAACTAAACATAATCAAGCATTACCAGCATTATCATTTTCACGTTCAATAAGTGATATATTATTTAGTTTAATAATGCAAATTTTTTTTCTTATTCAATCAACATTTATATTAGTTATACCTGTACCTATACTTAATACAATATTTGGTCATATGTGTCTTTGTTTACTTTATTCATTTTATGCATTTGAATATGCATGGATATATGCAAATTTAAATGTTAAACAACGTGTTGAACGTATTGAAACATATTGGCCATATTTTCTTGGTTTTGGCTTTCCATTAACAATGCTATCAACACAACTTTTTAAATCAATTATTATAAATGAATGTATTTTTTCGATTTTATTTCCATTTGCAATTGTTGCAGCAACATCAGTTAATTTTAAAGAACGTGTTAAATTACAACAAACACAAACACATATTATATCATTGAATATATTTGCTGGTTGTATTCGTTTAACAAGTCGTCTATTTGATATGCTCAAAAAAAAACGTCCTTCAACTACAGTAACAACTGTCCAATAATAATATGGATTCTAATCGTGTTTTCTTTTTCATTGTCACCGGTGAATTCTTTTTTTTTTTTGGTGTACATACATTAGCATCGAACTTGTAGTATTATTCATGCGCATTTTTCTTCTGTTCTTATTATAGATATTTGGAGAATATTAGAAAACAGATATACGGAACAGGCTTTGTACATTTGTTTCTTATATAGATGGATTGCTGTTATTGAAAAACAAAGACAAAATTGATTATGTATAGCTTTTTTTTTATTTATTTGTATAAAAGTTGAGGTGACATTTGAAGTTAATACAGATAGGGGTTTTTGGCATGAAAATAAAATATTTATTTACATCTCCTTAATATAACGATTTTGATTATTTTATTCGAGAATGTTTTCGGATTCAAAATCAGATCAATATGAATTCGAAAGAATTTCATATTGCAGAAAAGATCTTTCAAATAATGTTTAGAGTTATTGCAAAAAGTTTCATTACTCGACAAAAGTATATCAAATTCAATTCTTTTGCCCGATATGTTGACTATAAGTAGAGCTCGGCAAAACTTGATCGCAAGCAGTAACTCAAGGTAGATCGGTCTTAATGCATCGGATTTAGGATGAAAGCATTGTTTTTTTTTACTACACGATCTTGATGCTCTATCGTTCGCTTTCTTATTAACAAATAAAGTTTTACATGACTATGTTGTATCACACACAGGACATTCCAATACACCGTAATCCTGTGACGCGGAGAAGTTTCCATTGTCTCGGATGACTTCAGCATAGATTTCATCTCTGTCGATGGCTTAAATCGTGAAACTTTCAGGAAAAAGTTCATTGGTGCGGAGCTCTCAGTAGAGAAAATTTCAAGGAGAATGGTTGAAACTAGCCAAAGTTATGGATAACTCTACGACGAGTTCCATCAACTGTGATGTGGAAACTACTTCAAGATTAGTTCAAAAATCAGACAGGCTAAAACGTTTGACATGAACTTTTTATTCATCATACAGGCTACAATGAACTTTCAAATAAGAGGTCAAACGCCATGAGATTTGTTTTCTATGGTGAAATATTCTTGTCTGAAGAAAAATTCTATATTGACCTTCTAGCTCCTCCATATGAAGACGAGTTTAGTCCTCATTGGCTCTTGCGATTACGGTTCAACTTACTCTATTTGTGACCAAAATATAAGGTCGAAGGATGCAAGTTTAGGTAGGTTGCAGGCAACCCGAAATTCCAATAAAATTATTTTTTTCCTTCTTTTTCAATATATGATTTGACAGAGCTTAACCTGCTGATCAAGAAAAAGTGGTTTTTTACAAAAAACTTGTTGCTTTCAGTTTTTACGAAATTTTCTGTTCTGTTTTTTGTAGAATTCCTGTGACTTATATTTTCAAATTCAGTGCCAAAAACTGAGTACGAAATCGCTATTAAATCGCATTTGATCCTAAAACTCTGTTGATAACGGCGACCCCAATTGATTCTATTCCTATGCTTATTGGTCGTTTTTTATCAACCTAACTATTATCCATTTCAAAATAAAGTGAACTCAATTGTTTGTTGAATAACTCGGCGACGCTGATAGCTATCAAATTGCGATTCTCACCGTTAGAAAGAGGACGACTGGGGATACCTATATAGCTGAGGATCAAAGAACTTCAAAAGCTTTGTAAAAGTTCTTCAGATGTGGGTGGGTGTGGGGCGTCAGTGTGGGTGTGGGCACTGTTGTTTTTTCCAGATATATCCGCACTACAGCCTACATCCACACCCTCATTTTAGTTAAAAGATTATGCATGTCTATAGTGGGAAAATTGTTCTAAACATCAGTTTATGTGACACAGTTTATTGAGTTTCTATAAACCCTCATTCTAATGTCGAAAAAAAGAAATGTTCATAATATTTGGTTCGATCTGAAACTAACAATTTTGATAGAACATTCGCAATAAATCAAATTCATCGTGAATCAAATGTTTCTTTGAAAATTTAATTAATCTTAGTCTTCTCATAGATTGATTGACATCATCTATTATTTATTCAAACAAAACAGAATCAAAGAAGATTAACAATTCTATACTTAATTTATCTAAAAAAAAAGAGATCATTTTTTATCGGTTAATTAAAAATTTGTTGCGAAAAAATTATTTTGCAATGAAATTCTTGCATTCCTATCTTATATTTCTGCGCTAAATATAATGTTGGAAACATTTTTTTTTCTTACTTCTTAATTACTACGGTTTTCAAAAAAAAACGAGACAAAAATGTTACTGTTTAAAAAATAACTCTGGAATAGATTTGATTTCGTACAGAACCATTCAGAAATTCTCCAGAGTATTTTCTTGTTCAAAACATCTCACTACAAAAGGTCTAACGTTACGGATTACAGATTGGTAATGTGCAGTGAGTGATGCGTAAGATTGTTATTCAGAGTCGAACAACCTCTACGATCTTTGTCTGACTAAAAGCTAAAAACATATACATATGTATCCCATAACAAAAGGTGAAATATACTGATTATAGGTCAAAATCTTCCATTCCGAATGCTCTTTTTTTTTCAAAGTCTATTGGTTTGACAGGTTTACAAAACACAGAGAGTTTTCGATCTATCAGTACAGTAAAGAATACATCATTATTATGGCACCCCAAGTGTTTAATTAACCAAACAGTTGAAAAGATTTTTTCTCCCGATGTTTGGGTGTGGATATCTCTACTTCTCTCAGGTTCACACTCACACACCACACCCACACCCTAGATACATAGAATAAGAAACTAAAGACACTTTTACTGAAGCAATTCGATCTTTTCTTTTGTATTTTAATAGAAAAGGTTTAAGAACATCATGTTTATATTATTATGATAAAAATTCATCGATTTTCATTCCATAAGAAATATAGAGACGGTTTTTCTCATTCAAGTAATTCAGTTGTATTGTCATAACCAAATCATATTAGAACTTAATATCAATTTTTCAAGCAATAATGCAATTAAACAACTAGAAAAATAACGCTTTTTTGACAAATTAATAAAGAATATTGTTTTTCGATACATAACGAAAGAAAAATGAAACTTATATCACATTTTGATTGAGTATTGTAGAGTTTGCCACTTGTTTGACAATCTATCGCTCGTATACTTTTAATTAAGCAGGCATTTTTCATTACTTTTGTGAGTTCAAATTCTTTTTATAGAAAATAACTGATAGCTGGTTACGTTAACATGGTTCTTCATAGAATTTTAACAGATTTTAGGGTGCCGGTATGGGAGTGGATAGGTGTGAGTGTGAGTGTGGATGGGTATAGGTGTAAGGTGTGTTGGTGAATGATATGTCTTTATCTACACCAACATCCCACTCACCTACACCCCATATCCACACCCACACACCCACATCCCATCCACCCGCATCCCACACCCTCTGATAATTTATATTTAACTTCTGGTGATAGTAAAATTCTTCCAGGTATCAATAACATTTCATTAACATCAACAATAACACCCAACTTTTGTAAATATGAACCGTGATTAAATCGACGTTCATGAACAACACGTTGAATTATTCTATAACATTCATCAGGCTGAACAATAGTTTTTGTTGTTGCTTCAGTACGTTGTTCAGTTGTTAGAGCTTGTAAATTTGGTTGTCCTTTATCAACAGCAACTAATTCCATTGGTAAACCATATAATCGATTATCATTTGGACGGTATAATTCAACAGCAGGTAAATGTGGATAACGTAAAGGAAATTTTCATTTATCATTAAAGTAATCTGCAGCTGTTATTTGTTTATTGCCATCTATAATATATTTCTGTTGATTTTCTGGACAACCAAATGATTTTAAACGAAATTGACAAGCGTGTTCATCAAATAGCACGATAAACCAATGAAATTTTAATATTTTTTGAACAAGTAATGCCTGATCTTTTGATGAAATACCTAAAATAATAATACAAATATAAACAAATGTGAAATAATATTATCTCTTCTTTGTATTCCTTCATTTGATAAATAACATAACCATAGGAAAATAGTGACTTTTAGCATGGGAAGAACAAATGATTAAAAGAAAACGAGTCTTGTAATCAATCATTGGAAAGTCGCAAAGGTCGACGTCTGATGGCTCGACCGTTCATTCATGAAAAAACTTATGTTGTCTAGGATTGAATCATGAAAAACATGATCCATAACCAGGAATGTGTCCATCGGGAGGAACAGAGAGAGACACAGGTCTCACTTGAAAAATTTTCATTTTTTATTTTTTCTAGCAAAAATTGCTTTTTTTATCCAAAATAAATGTGGAAACCTCGGATTTAAATCCGAGAGTTATGTGTACTTCAAAAAGTGAATGAGACAGATGAGTCATCCTAGAATGTGTGGAAGTAAAAATTATCCTGGCAAACCCTTTCTATAAACACTTGATTTCTATTGGCTACTGCTCAACCAATAGAATTTCTGGGTGAATACAGCTCAGATTTGAACTCTTCGCCTTGAGTTATCCTCAGAAAGTCGTTTTTCCTATAACTTGATTTCTATTGGTTACTGCTTAACCAATGTGGCTTCGAGTCAAGTGGATTACAGATTCGAGTTCTCCATCTCAGAAAACCTCGAAGTATTATCTCGGTGACCGGAATATAGAGCTCTAATTATGGATTGATTAGAGCGCAGACAAAAACAGAACCGATTTCCGTTGATTTATCCTTGCAATACGTGTGCTAACCTTCTTATTTCTTTATGTTTTATATATCATTTTGTAGCTCGTGAAACTCTCTATCGAATGGTATATAATAGTTGGGGTTTTATTTGACTATGATAGGGAAAATGTTTTACGAAAGTGGGGATAGGTCGATTTTCCTATAGGAAGCCGTAGGTAAAAATCAGTATTTTTGCAACAACTCAGGAACGGCTCGGCCAATCCTTTTCATCTTCGAACTCGACCGAGACAATGTTAAGACTAAACTGTATAGAAAATTTCATCATGATCGGACTCTCCCTTCAAAATTTATCGTGTAAACGGCTGGACGGACACACTGACCGATTCTATAGTGTACTCACTTTTTGAGTACACAAAAAAGCCGAAGAACTGGCAGCACATACTAAAAAGACCAATCAGTGCGTTTATCAGAAGGTGAATGTGCACGAAAATGAATCTATTAAAGGTATTTTCTAAGAAAATCAGATCGCCGTGAATGTGTTAATAATTAATCGTTTCTCTCTTGAGCACAATTACTCTCAATCAAATTCGAGATAGTCGTGTGCAAATAGATCGTGTTTTTACAAACCTATTGATAAAAAGCATGCCAACTGTGATAATCGATGAATCTGCTAAAGAACAAGGTTATTTTTGGTTGAAAGATGTTCCAGTTGATATTCTAAATCGTGTGGCATCTTTTTTACTTTGTCATGATACGTCGTCATTTGGGAAATGTTTTTCGAACGAAGTCCTATCGTCTGAACGACGATTTTGGAAAATTTTAGGGTTGTAAATAACATTGTATTTGGGTTTTTTCTGTCGTAAGCACACAAAAAAACAAAAAATGCTCTATTTTCTAAAGATACGCAATCAGATACCGTATGTATGACTTGTATATAATGAAATATAACCCAAATCCGTTATAAAATCAATTGTATAAAAAAAATTTTTTCAAACTCATAGAAATTGATGGAAACGTTTTCTAATTTATAGGAAAAAAACGTGAAGGCGATCACTTGATTCACCTGGTCCATCAATCATCGACCACCAGATTGAGAATCAGGATTATTTTTCTCAAATTTTATCCGGTTGAAAATATGCGCGTTCTGCATATATTTGTTTCGAAGGTTTCAACTTTTTTCGACTTATAAAATGTCGAAATAACGACTTGTAGAAAACATTTAATCGCCTTTATTCATATTTATCACATGTTTTGGCCAATAACATGTCTCTTTTAATATTTTTGAAGTATCCATCTATTTATATATATCGAGATCACAACAGAATTGAAGACCACTTATTTCGTGTATGTCGTATTGGTCAGCTAGATCAAGAATCGATTGCTTTTGCAAATTTTTACGAGTTAAAAAAAAATTTGAATGCCTGATTCTTTTTTTTTCTTCATTTGAAGCTTGAATTGACTTCTCTTTGTTCATTCTTGCAAGTGAGTTGTAAAAAACAATACTTATTTGAATTTATTTCTATATAATTCTATTAGGTTGAGCCGTCTTTAATGCTCTTATGATCAATAAATTTGATGTAAGCTCACAAGACTTGGACTTCTTTTGGTTACATGAGTCTTGGTGTTTATTTTATGAAACGGTTCAATATTTTGAACGTTCCGCCTATGTACAAATCTTTGGTAAGAAAAATATTAAAGGAAAAATATTCGATTTTGTTTTATCTGTGGGGAATGATCGTAAGGTCAAGATTTAATTTATTTTCGGCCGACAAGAACATAATGCTTCTTTTCTGTTGCATACATGTGATTTGGATATTGTCCAAATGGCTTTTGATAGATCGGAAATTATTCCAGTAATTATGATATATTTGTTTTTTATTTTTATTTTTTGTTTACATTTTGAAAGATTTGCTTATGATTTTGTCGTAATTTTATTGAACTAATCGAATTTAGTTCGACAAAAAGCATTTTTTGCAACAAACGGAAAATTTTCGTTATCATTTAATAATGGTTACAAAGGCTAGCATTGTTTTTTTTACAAGAACTGAGCATTTGTGCATAACCAATTTGCGATATGATTGATTTCTTTTATATAAACACCTGCTTTTTGTCAAGCAATGGCTAGTCGATCTTTTATCTGTTACAAATTTACATGTGATATTCATGATGTACCATAATATGTCGATCGGTGACTCAAATACAATACAAGAGGTTTTTCATTAATTTGTCCTATCGGTTTTAATGATAGCTTTCTTCAAAAACCACTTGTATGCAAGAAAAAGTCATTTACCTATGCCTTCAACGATTCCTACTTTAATATCGATGCGTTTGACAGGCAATCTCGTTTTCTCAATTTGAATTTTATTTGATCAATAAACAGATTATCGTAAGTTGTTGATATTTTTATTCTTTTATTAATTTTTCATCGATAATTTCTTTTTTCCAATAGAATCAAGCAACACCAACATTAATCACTTTCTCTGTTGTCTTCGTCGAGAGCAGATGTATCGAATTTTGCTTACATTCCTTCTTCTGTGCTTGTTTCCTTCCATCGCGGTGACTCACATAGTACACGATGGAAGCTCAACCCAGGTGGTGAACATAGGAATGGATGGCTGGGTGTGGGTGTAGGTGGCTGTGGATGTAGATGAGGACTAGATCCACACCCATATCCACCCACAGCCACACCCTTACGATTATGAATTTCACGGGCATGGGTATCGAAGGTTACGAAAATTTATATCCATGTACTATTCTACTGTTGATTACATGATATTGATAAATGAATGAATTTTGAAAGAATTTGTATTCATATAAAATTGCGATAAATATAAAGAAAAATAAATACGTATAGATATTGTCTCTATCTTAGAAAATCCTTTTTTTATGCAGAAATGTCTAAATTTCAAATGAGGAATCTAAATTGAGTTTTAATGTTGATAAACAATGATGTTTTCTGTATAAATGGACTATCTATAGTATAATCATATCCAATATTTCTATATCTTAATTTATAACAATTAGGATTAACAAGACGAATTTGAATTTAAGAAAATTTATTCATGAATACAAACAAAATTTATTGTAAAAATAAAAAACTTTGTCATATTTATGGTTTTACAAAAATATTTTTTGTTTGTCGCGATCGATTCTTATTTCTCGTTGTTTCCCATCGACGATTATGCGGTTCAACTGGATCAGTTTCTTCTGGATCATCATAAACAGTAGTAATACGTATTTCTCCTTGTCGTTGATGATTAGTCGTAGCCATTCGTTTGTAAGGATTTCGTTCTATTTTTTCACCTGTATATCCTAAACCCGTTTTATCTTTTATCGATAATTTTCCACCATCAGCTGTAAGTGCTTCGCTCATACCTATAACAGATGAACCAAGACCTTGACCATCACGCCATCCAGCACGTTCTAATAAACGCCGCCCAATGCCCTACAGTTTAATAAAAAAAAATTTACGAAAAACAAAAACTAAAAAGCTATTACCTTCGTATGTTTTTCAAATGAACCAATTCGTTTATGTTCGGGATCAGTTTCATTCGATATACGACCTTGACGAAGATCTTCTTCTCGACGTATACTTTGTAATTCATTTCCATGACGATCAGCTGATCCTATTGAATTGAAAATGTTATAATTAGATAAAATTATCTTATTATTATATACCTGCACTTTCATGATATATGCGCATATCAATATCTATATCATCAGCCATATCCAAATTATCAAAATCTTGACCTTCGTGTTCTTTCCAAAAGACATCATCTGTATAAAATACTAAACCACTACCACCTTTTTCCCATTTTAATTCAATTTTATGATCAAAAAAATATGGTGATGTTCGATCTTGTTTTGTAACATCATCATATTGTGCTTCATGTCGATCCCATTCTTCAAGTTCATCTTCTTCTTCATCAAGTTGTTTATCTTCATTTGATATGAATATTTCATCTTTTTTACGTTCATCATCTTCCTAAAAGATTATCAATTATGAAAATAAAAAAAAAAAAAAGAAACAAAATTATTGAAAAATAGAATATACTTTTTGTTTATTCAGTTTATCAAGTGTCGTTTTATCTTGTTCGGAAAGAATTTCATGACCTTGACCAGTTTTTAAATCCCTTTCATCCATATCTTCTTCATCTTCTTCTTCTCCTTCGTCATCAACTTGATCAATAATGGTGCCATAATCAAATCCAACACAACCATATTTTCGTTTTGATCGACATTTAGGAAAAACAAGTCCCAATTTTTCTATAGACAAACAAAAGATTCAAATCAATGCAATTAAGATTAATACTTACTAATAATTGTCGACGGTAATCGACATGCATTTATTTCATTAAGAAAATATGAAGTCGGCGTTCCAACATTACCTTGTGGATAAATATGTTTCGGAGGTTTCAATTCAATTAAATTGTTAGTTATTGTTGGGTCTATGTACATAAAACAAAATAAAGCAAAAAAAAGAATTGTTAGTGCATTCTCTGCAGGATGAAAATGTGAAACACAATGTAGCTGCTCTTTCTAATTATAGGGAGTGTTTTATTCTGTTTATTTTCAGGTATATTTCTTCACTATCCTGTTACTTAATCCTTCAGAAATGTAATAAAGAATTAGCTCATATATTTATAATGAGATGCTATTGATATATGGTCTTGAGTTATATATCAACAATGGCGTCACGGTCTGTTAGGAAATTTCTCGATCCTTGTCAGATTAGTCATTGTTCTAGTTAACAAAATTACACATTTGGAATTAGCATTAAAATAGAAGTCAACCTATATATGTTTTAAATTGTTCGGACAACTTCTATTTTCGTCAAAAAATTTACTCCCGGTCTCTCTCAGAGTTCAGCAAAAAAATGAAATCAATCAAAATTTCATTTGAACAATTGAAAACAAGTTCTGATCTTGTAAAATCATAATAGAGTACAATAAGGCAGATGACTACACATTAAAAATGATGTTATGATTGACTTCATTTTTTGACTGAACTCTGAGGAGAACCAGAAGTGGATTTTTCGACGAAAATAAAAGTTGCCCGAATAATTTGAAACAGATATAGATCAGCTCAGGTTTTGATGCCGATTTCAAATATATCATTTTTTTAATTAGAAAAGTAACGCGTCCGACAAGAATTGGCAAATATCAGTGAAAGAATGGTCACTTTTACCTATCCGAACACGAAAGTCTCAACTTCGAACATGTGGCCGCACTTATTCGCTCACAATTTATACATGTTCATGTAGCCCGTCATGTATTTCACGAGTATTGAAATTGTTTTCATATGTTCATTTTTATTCTCTAGGATATTAGCCTCTCAAGATCGACTAGTGGCTGGAAATGCATCTCAAATCATGTTCCATCGATCACACTATGAATGAGCTCAGTAGCTTGTGACTCCATCTCAGAAGAAGCATATGTTCTCTTAACTCACAATAAGAAGAAAAGTTATAGTGATAGTTAATCTTGTAAGAGGCATAAGTATCTATAATTTAAGACTTCACGGCAACACTTGTACATAGTTAGATTTGCAAGCTTTAAGCGCTACAAGACGTGGTAACTTTTATATTCATTTCTGAGAAAAAATTAAGTGGACCAAAACTGGTCCTTGTGAAAAATTAACACTTACCATTATCTTCATTTGTGACTTTACTAATAAGACAGATCGATGATAAATAGTTGCCTTTTAAATTAATCCAATGTTTTCGATGATAAAGACGTGTAAATTCATTTAAACGTTTATTATAAACTTGTATAAAACACATTTGTGATACATTAACAGCATTAGTTGATGATGTTGGCATAGGTCGATGACGAAAATGAAAACATCGAAAAGCTTGTGTTTCAACAAATAATGAAAAAAAATTTCGTAAATCAGCTGAATGAAATGATTTCGGTATAGCTGAGACAAGTACAGTTGTAAATGGTTCATCAGATATTGTACTAGTAGTTACTATCGATGACATAAATATCTGTAAAAAGTAAAATTATTCCCATATTTTATTATTCTTTGTTTTTAACAAATAATTAAAAGACAAAATGAAAATTATTTTGAAATATAA